ACAATTATTTAATCAAATTTGCTAAAAATTTTTTTATTTTAATTTTGAAATTATATAAAATTAAAATAAAAAAAAATCATTAAATTTAATAAGATAGCTGTTAAAATATTTAATCTTAAAGTCAAAAAAACTTTTACTTAGAAAAAATTTGTCCCTTTTTTACTGACTCACTCCTATATATATAAAATAAAAAAAAAACCTTTCATACCCTAATCCTAACTTTAACATCAACAGCAATAGTAATGCTAGATGTTTATGCAGAAGATCATCATATAATCATGTAAATTTCAACATCATCCAATTTCAGCATCATCCTCGACATTTAATAATACAATACCAACTATGTTATATAACAAACTTAACTAGATAGCAAGTTTTTAGTTTGAGATATAAACTATAAAAAAATCATTTGCATTAATTATAATTACACTAATATATATTCTATATATAAGAAAACTTGCAATAAATTATGCTTGCAAACACACCAAATTAGAAGCTTATAAAGAGCAAAAAAACTTGTTATTACCAAATTAAAAGTTATAATTAGATATGGAAAGATGTAAAAAGAATATAATAACTATTAGAAATAGCTAATTGAAAAATATAAAGCTAAGTAATATATGTGTGAAGCATAATTTATACTAATAGGTTTAGATTATAAATAAAATTAGTTTAAGTTTCAATAGTCTATATAAATTAATATAACTATTACAAGTTAAATATTTTAATAAAAACCAGAAACATAATCTCACTTTAATATAAAAAATATATATAAAGTATATTTTATTATAAAATAAAGATTTTGACATAATATTTAAAATTATTTAATAAGTTTGAAAACACAAATCTTTAATAAATTAAAATCTTTAAATAAAAATTTTTTAAATTAGCATGTTGTATATAAATATATAATTTAGTAGTTTAATAATTAGCTTTAACTACAGATATTGACTATAATTATAAAATTAGAAAATTAAATTATATCTTTTTTTAGATTATGCTACTATATATATCAACACTTTACTATATACCAAACTACGGTGTTTAAAGCCAATATGTAGTTTAAAAATAAATTTGATAAAAAAAAACAAAACTGTTTAAACAAAATAAAAAATTATATTTAAAATTTTATTTTATCAAATAATTAGTTAAACTACAGTATTACTATGTGTAACATTTGAATTCTATACATTTATATAAATAAAACCCAAAAGTTTAAGTAAACTTAATAGGTGCAAATTAATATAAGACAATCAAGTTTTGGTGCAGGCAAATAGTGTACAAATTAATAAAACTAAATACACTGAAAAAAAAATTAAAATTATATAAATGCAATTTTTTTTAAAAAAATGGAATGGGTTGGGAATTGCGTATCATAGAGGAGAAATGATTAAGTAGTTGAGTTAAATATTAATCAATCCTATTAAAATTATAAAATGAACTACTGACGGTTCTAGCATTCTAGTGTCTGGTAAACTAATTTGATATTATGCATGACATTTCCTGTTTACAATTTAAATTATTTTATCCACTTGCATATGCACCCACAGAACAAGAATACAATAAAAAAAAAAAAAAAACCTAGTTTACAAAATATTATCTATAAAAAAAGTGGTTAAATAAAAATAAAGTGAAGATGAATTTAGGTGACTTTTGAACGTTAATATGAAGTGTCTCTAGAGTCAATTATGGCGACTTCTCATATAGAGAAATGGGAGGAATTAGAAATAATATTCCAATAGTTATCATCGATGCAAGGGTATCCCACATTATAAATTTTAAGGATCGTTTACGATGAGCCAATAAAACGGACCTTTCTCGAATTTTGTGGAAACCGAAAAATTTACATTCACTAAAATGTGATTAATATGTTTGAATATGATTAGATATGATTAAAAAATATATATATTAATAGAAATACGAGAGAAATAATCATACATAAATTAGGAAATGATAATGTACCTCACTCCAAAGATACTAAAAATAGGCGAAAACCTTGTTGCAGCAGTTTGAAGAAAAATCCAACCAAGCCATATAGCAGGAAAACCATAAAAACGAATCAAACGATTTTCCAATCCCATAAAGATATAATAAAGAACCAAAGAAAATCCAAGTGTTAGACACATTATCCCCAAAGGAAGAGCAAGTATAGCATGAGCCTGAGTCAAGTTCATTTCGACTGCGGATTGAATGAATTTTGGGAAATATATAACGTTCATTATATGATGTACATAAGATTTTGCCGAAGAAAATACCACAGGATTATATCTTCCTTGACGTTCGATAAGATCAGCCATCGTATTTCGACTTTCTTCGGGAAGGATACTCATGTGACCATATTTTCGATATATATTCAAAGCAGATTTAGTTAAATCTTCTTCGTCTACACGTTTTACAATTTTCAGTTTGCTATAATTCCTTGATTTGTAGTTGTCTGGAATTGTGATTTCATGACCATATCGTGCGGAAGAAGTATGATTAAGTGGCATCACAGGATTTTGAGAATCTACAGAAGTAGTTCCAGTATCATCCACACTTGAAGAAGTAGAATCGTGATTTTGTTCCCATTCATCAACCACTTGTTCTTCATAATCATAATCATCATCATTATCATGATAAACGAATTGATTTTTTTCTTCGTAACTACGTCGCTCTCTTGCTTTTTTTGTATGATTTTGATATTCACGCCATGATTCAAATAAATTCTCATGAGTCACAACATCTAACCAGAAATTTAAGTTTTCTTCACCTTGCCATTCTTGCTGAAGATAGGAATAGAAATTATATTGAGATAAAGGAGATCCAGTTTGATTCATTAAGACTTTTTCAAGAGGTGGATAAGAAGTAGTATCCGTTATTATATTATTAAAAGATTCTTCAGTGCTTAGAGTATCATGTTGAGATAAATTATTAAAAACACCACTCGTTGAATCAGGATAGATTTGCTGTGACGAAAAACCATGGTGAGAAAAAGTATTATCATGTACAGTTCTTATAGAGCTACCAAAGGCCATTTTAGGCACAGCCAAAGTAGAGCTTGCCGATTGTTTAGGTAATGGAGAGACATTATTTTTATTAACTTGCTCCATTGCGGACAAGAAGGTCGCAACATATAAAAAGATTTGCCGATAAAATTATATTGTGGATTTGGTGATAATAGATAGGACTGGATAAAGAGTGATGATAATGTACTCAGTACAGTATTAATATTAAATATCCATTTTTCATTCGCTTTATTGGATATTAAAGAAAGATTGTAGGAAAGTTAGTTTTTACTACGATATTATCAGTTTAAAGAACCAAGGGGTGAAAATTTTGATAATAGACCAAATTTTTTTTTTTTTTACATTTTCCAAATTACTAATAATATTCGTACGCACCTATAAAAATAATATGCCTCCTTGTGGAATGGTTTAAAACAATTTTATTCGGGACTAAGTGAATAATATTAATGCAATTACTAAATTTGGAAAAAATTGTCATGTAATTTGTATTACAAAATATATATATATTTAATTAATTATACAGTTATACGTACAAAGGACTTGACGATGTCTTATTTTTTTTAATACCTTTTAAGTGCTACATACAGTACAAACAAATAATCGGCACTTCTTATAGACTGTTGATCGGTTTAAGGATACGTAAATCAGGGACCGACAAAAAATTTGTATACGCATTATTTATATTATTTATATTATTTACATTATTTACACAATGCATATATGTAATAGACCTTTAATAAATACTAAATACGCTTGCACGACATTTGCATAAAGTTATTAAACGGTTTATTTATTGGTAAATTGTCGCATCCTTTTATTATATATTATATATATTATCTATTACGCAACGTGATAAATTATATAGTGAAAGAAAGTGACAATTACAACACTGCTTTAAGTGTTGAATATGCCATACTGTATGTATGTTAAAACTGTTATAAATACAATATCTTGTTATTGAATTCGTGAGTACAATTTTAAATGAAATTCTTGAATAAGACCCGGGTACTGTGTGCGATAACCTATAAAAAAAATAATTCTTTTAATTTTATTTTTTTTACTGTCTTTTTTCAAAGTTTCAAATTTCTCCCATATATAGTTGCACGTATAAGTAGGGATATTTAAATTAACGGATATCCGGATATCCGATTTAATTTTATTAATAAAATTAAAAATCAGGATCCCATATCTATATAAGGTGGTCGGCTAAAGCGGAGTGAAGTTTAGGGTTACCTTTTTGACGCAGTTATGGTTAGTGGGTTATATAGATATCAAGAATGTAATTTATGCAGCAGGTAGATCATATATTTAATTAACTCCGCTTTAGCCGACCCTATATAAGGTCATAAAAAAGCATGCGATGGTTTTATAAGAACGTGAGATCCAAGAAAATACCGATATTTCATTAATTCAAGTCAAATAGTTGACCGATTTTCGAGACACGTATGTATATATCATCAAAAAAAATTAGTACGTGGAACTATGCCCGGTCAAAGCAAGACAGAATATATAAAGTGCATTATCATTAGCTTAGAATCCAATTTTCAAACTGAAACTTGGATTCAGTCTGGAACTGACTGACACGTATTAATTATTTTTTAAAACTATATATATATAATGAGAAACCAGAATTATCTTAATAAAGTTATTTTGTTCTAGGTGTATATCATCATGTAACCATCATGGTGCGATAAAATTTTGATTTATATGATAATTATGTAAGTTATATCAAATAAAAATATGTGGCCCTCATCTAAAACTTGACTGATGCGCTCGTAATTTATGTTAATGCCTACAAACTGATCCAAATTATTAAATTAGAACTAATTTTTTATTACGCTAATCTTACCTGTATTTTTATAAAGATGATTATGCTATCGTGATAAAAACTAGATCTATGCTATATATCACAGGCCGAGTCCAGATTTTTAGTATTTTAATTGGCTAAATTGAAAATGCATTGTTGTGCAGATAAAAGTAACTCATTTTCGACTACGTATGACCCCTAAATCTGCATTTTTTAATGCAAAATTGTGTGAATCAGGTAATATGTGACAACTTATTATACGTACGTAATAGATTGCTTAATGTAAAGATCAAAAAAAAACCCACTTCTTAGCTAACTTCCGAATTACTTCGTGGATTAGCAAATTACTTTAACGGTTTATAGAATAGAACTAGTACTTTCTAATTTTTTGGGTCGCAACCTCTGCGAATTCGTACTCGTGGCTGCGAATCCATTTTTGTAGTTGTAAAACGTTACGCCACTATGAAAATCATAGTTGTGTAACATTTGATCTACCATCCAATCATATTTATGTTCGCTGTGTTTACGTACGTACGTACAGTACGTAAATCTTATATTACACCTAATCTTTTATCCCAAGAATATGTTCCGGAATTCTCCATATATATTTCCGTAATTGATGCTAATTCATTGTACGTATAACTTCCTAACTTTCCCGATACAGAGTATTTTTCAATGTTATTAGTTAGCGTTAGGCTACTACGTACTGTAGGTTTATGCGCAGATGCAGTTGTACCAAATCCCTAATGTATATATAAATATAAAATTAAATTCTTTTTTATTTTTTTTACTCTAAATTCTAAATCGGCCGGGGTGAGGTTTACTCTAGGTATTGTAGGTCGAATCCGTGAATATGCTATATATATCTTAAAAATTAAACTCCTAATATTCGGTTACACAAAGTTCGTATAATACAAGCCACTCTCATTATAGTGAACTAGTGAAGAACAGTTTATACGTATAAAAATCCTCTAGATATAGTGAACTTACTAATAGACTCTCGACATAGTAAAGAAATCTCACAGCCCAATCCTACTATGACGAGAGTGACTTGTAATAATGGATCAATTTGCCTACATGACTATCTGCAATTAATCAAGCGTATAAAAAATCCAGATATCTGCACAATGCTATTCGTGGATGATTAAGATTCATTGAATAGCTACGTACGTATAAAGGATATCCAACTTCTAAAACTGTTTATACGTAATAATTTATTATAAGCTTACTTCAACTTTTCAATTCTTCGATTCTATAAGATATCTTTGAATATTACATAAATATCGAAAAAATCTTTATCAAGAAAAGTAATTATTTAATGGCTCGTATCATATTGTAAATTAATAAAATTGAAAGTGAATCCAAAGAAATCATTAAAATTTATTTACAGCTTATGACATTTGGTGGCATATTTAGGGATGCCCGTTGTTTTTTTTTTTTTCTTTTACAAAAAAAAAAAATACTACAATAATATATAGTATTAAAAATAGCAAATAATCATAGTACATACACAGAATAAACTTCGGTAAATACTACGTAGTACATACTTGTGCAGGAAAAAGGATTAAGTTCATCGGTAGAATTTACCAAAACTAAATATATATATTATATAAAACAAGCAAGCATAACACGATTCCTTAAGGAATCAAGAACTTCCATTTTTACTTTTATCTTCCCCAGATTCCAATCCCACTCCCAACACAAAAGACGAGAAATAAACATAGCATTAACAAAAAAGCCATAAGGTATGCATATGCCTCACTGACCACGAACCTTATTAGTAAAAAACCAAATACCATATACATTAACACCAACCACTTTAGACCCTTATTTGAACGAATACTCCGTAATTGCCTTGCCCATCTCGACCCTCCAGCATGTGAACCATTTCTACTATTTGTAGTACTATCATCAATAAATGTTCCATTATTTGCAATTATACGTTCTAAATGCGTACTAGGAGGTGTATTTAGAGTTCCTGTTGCATGAGCACTTTGAGATGTATTGATAATAAATAATTGAGTATCAGATGGATCTAAAGCATTAGATTTGAAATATTGTCGAACCGAAGATTTCATCAAGAAATCATCATCGGTTGCATAAAAAATAGCTTGATAATAATAGACTTGATTAAGATTTCCTTTCTCATTGAGATTAATTGAATTAGAAGAAGGATTTTTTGTTAAAGGAGATATTGAATCAAGATTTTGATTGTAAAAATTATATGGTACATTATATTTTGTGTGTTCAAATTTATAACATGAAATCGGTATTCCGGAATTTTTATGAGTTGATACCGAAGTAGTAGTGTTAATCTCATGTAATTGAATATTATCACTAGTAGTAATAGGAAGTTGAGGTTGCATAATTGGAGTAGTATTTTGACCAGATAATAAATTATTATCAGAAGAATGTTTTTTGAATTGAAAATTGTCGGGAAGAAAAACTTTTGGAGGAGGTTGGACCAAATCATTTGCAGACCGTCGACGTTCTTCAGTTTTAATGTTAACAGAATCTTTTGAATCATTAACGTCACGATCACCTTGCCATATTGAAGGAGGAGAAGAATGTAAACCACCCTCTCGGTTTATTATTTTATCAGGATCAATATTAATTAAATAATCTCCTTCATTCGTATCAAGAGCAGAAGTAGCATGTATTTCTGACATGAAAACACCATTTTCGAGGAGTGAAGTTTTGTTTTGAACACCGAAAGGAATGGTTGAAGATTGAATTGGTTTAACAGATTCAACTTTAACGACATAATAATATACATCACCAATGATATTCATATTATTTAAAGGCTAAAAAAAAAATAAATAAATAAATGAATAAATAAATAAATCAAATTAATAAAGTTACAAGTTTTAATAATAAGGTATAAAAAAAAAAGTTATAATAGATTAATTAGACCAACATTTTTCGCCTTCATTCTATGTAATAACCCTTGGTCAGGTTGGGTTCTAAACAATACTTTATTAATTTGATGAGCCGAATAATAAGAATGATATGTCTTTGAATCATCCGATGGATCAGCAGTGGTTACTCTAGCCAAAATGAAGTCTTTGTCTTTTTCAGAATGTTGGTGTATAAGCGTTTCAAAAGTCTCTAGAGTAAAGGGATCTTCGGTTGTTGCATCTAAGAAATGTATTACTTTTGAAGATAATTCATCATACTGAGTACTTTGAATATTTTGAATATT